TCATTTTCTGTTGAATCCTCTGAATATTCAAAAATGGCAAAAGTTAGAAATAATACGAGAAATTATGTGCTGTTGGAGGACCACTTGTTTTAGTTTGGTTACTCATTTTCCCCTCAATTGAAAACAAACAATAGTAGTCTTTGAAATCAAACAACTGAAATGCATAAAAAAGTTTTCTATTTGTTAAAATATACATTAATAAAGACCCTGAACTCAAGTGAACCAGTATTATACGTTTAAACATTTCAAAACTATTAATGCATGGAATTTCATGCACTTTTCAGTATGCGTTCGCGTCAAATTGTCTACATCTCATAACTATAACACACAACTGCATAACCTTTTTTATACAATTAGACACTGTACTGATCATGAAAACGTAAAATGATATTAATTTTAGCATTGGGATTTAATGAATGCGACATTTCACCGTCAACAGATTTTTCGGTATCAAGGGTCAAAAAAACGTAGATTCTGACTACAAAACTTGTTTGAGGATATAATTTTTTACGTATAGGAACAAATTTATCTTCTTATTTTGATATCAGAGCCCCACAACACAAGTTGTTTTCTGCCGAAAATGTCACCACTTTGCGCTGCAGCATTGCAATTCTTCCCTTTGGTACGTACATACATAATAGGGACGAAAGGAAACTAGCGGTGCTACAGCAGAACATATTTTCTTTCATTATTTCTATCTTTAGATTTTTAGCAAATATTCAGAGATTTCGACCAAAATAAGACCTACGCTATTTTGACGAGTCCTTAACTCTAGCAGGGGAAAATTAAAGAAAAGAATTGGAGCAGTTTCTTATAAAAAAAGCATTTTCTGAAAAAAAGAATAAATTAAGAGAAAACTACTCTTTTTTTTTAAAAAAATGTTCTTTATAGATCTAATGTTACAGAACAGATTTAATTTAAGATAAAATCATCCATCTTCAAAATTGTACATTAGTAATGTTAATTTTTTTCGCAATTTTTGAAAACACAGAGTTTGCCGAAAATGAAATCATTTTTGTACCGTTTTTTATACATACGAGAGAAAACGTCAAAGAAAAATGTTGGAGTCGTTCTTGAGAAAATAATTGTTAAAACTGTGTTTATATTTCACGCAAAATTACGCGAAAGCTACTCATATGTCCGCGAAATTATACATGATCCTACTTAAAATATATCTTTCAACAATTCATTTTATTATAAAATCTCTATCTTCAATATTATAATGGTAGGAAGAGCCGAAAATATTTTGAACTTTTGCAATTTTTGATGATGATAATTTTTACTTTTGCAATCAATGATTTTAATGAAAAGGAGACCCGTACCATTTTTTAAAAAGTTGTTCACGCTATTCCAAAAGAAAGTTTAATTAAAAGATGTTCATTCATTTTGGATAAAATTTAGAAAATGTTGAGACTTCATGTAATATACTCCCAAAACAATATGGTTACAATCTTACTGAGCCTCGAGTTACTTCAGATCGATCATGTAATATCAATTTTTGAGAAAATCGTGTGAACTGTTAAGACGCTAGCGTTGACCAGACCCACACAGACAGACAGAGATTTTGTCGTCAATCAATTTTTCGGAATCAAGTACTTACAAAACATGCATTCCGTCTACACAGCGCGTTAGAAGTAATTTACGTCACATTTTTGGAACAAAATTTATCTACTTTTTCGTTAAAGAGGGCCCGACAATAAGATTGTTTTAGTCGACAAATCTCCCTTTTACGACGCAAATGATTATTATAATTTCCCTTCTTCCAAAGTAAGGCGTCAAAATAACCTATCCAACTTTGCAGAACTGACGATATTTATTTAAAATATTTCTAACATTTTTGCATATTTATTGGCAGTTTATTTTCTTTGAAATATCTATTTACAGACAACAAATATTTTTATAGTTAGACGCTTAAAAACCACATAAACGACACATTTCAATAAATGGTGATTTTCTTTTAAATATCAAACTTTATGCATACTATCTCAAAACTTTCCTTTTTCTAAGTTGGATACTCTGTTCTTAATATAACATTGCATATTATGCTATTTCCAATAATTCTTCGGATATCTTACCCTCATTTTTCATCGAGAAATGAATTTTTAAATGATTTGCTAATCTCTCAAAAATATTTGTCGACATGATACCATGTGATATTTTAATAGTAATATTTATAGTTAGGTCTTCACAACTATTCCTTCAACATAATCAATCTTAGAAATGATTTATGATGAATGTTCTTTTCCTACAAAATGTTTATTGTCTCAAACGCCAATATTGGAATTTCTGTGTCAAAGATTTCAAAAAATGCAAAGAAAAAGAAAAAAATATTTGACCTATACGTAAACAAATTTATCCCAGAGCCTCGTAGAAGTACACAACAAACACTTAGAAAAATAGTTTCATTCTTAAATTATTCATTCAGAACATAAGATTTATTTTCAACCAAAAACTGCCTGATATTTTGTTCTTCAATACAATACTTGAAAACACCTAATCAGTTCAGTAACATGAAAATATTTTCTAATTTAGATAATATTTATTATCCCCTACAAATAATCTACAGAAATTTCATTCCCTACAAATAATCTACTAATTAAACGTATTGATGAATATACTATTTTCTTGGTAACATTTAACTTGCAAAATTATAAATTATTATATGAATACTTATTATGCACATCCGCTTTGGGATAAGAAAACTGAATTTGAATATTAAAATCTTGTTCTTCGAGATGAAAAGACGCAACACGAAACTAGTGAGCATACGGAACATTTTTTGTCACTCACTCGAACAAAACTCTGTGGATGAGAATGAGCTATTTAAGAACACAGTTTACATTTTTATCATATAATAGTACTATTAGATATATTAACTCATCATTAAAAACTAATTTGACTTTAAACAAACTTAAATGTAAACTAGAATGAATAAAAGTTTAAAATTCTTAGCATTATGATCCAAGAGGCTTGCAAGAGGCGTACGTATACAAAAATGCAATTTGCAATTCTCTTGCAAAGTTGTCCCACTGTTTTTCATATTTATATGCAGTGGAGAATTTCAAAGGAAGGTATTCACTATCAGTCATGTTCATCACCTAAAAAGGGTACAGCCTGAAGAACGCAACGGCAACTGGTCCATTAGGAGAAAACGAACTGTTGCATATACCGCAATACTGTATTCGACTTGAGGTCAGCAGCCCCCATTCAAATCTCCAGATGCAGAAGCACAGAGATACAGGGGCCGTTACGCTGCCACGTCCTGGACACTAGTATGTTTGGCATATGCAACACATGCAGAGGCAGGCCGAGGAAGCGAACTCACGGCTTGTGCGTGCTGCCTACGAAAGGGCGAGAAAGCCACCCGAGCATCATTCGCTCTGGTGCATCCGGCAGCAGTCTCATGCACGCAAAATATTAGTACTTACAGTTCCATGTTACCAAATACGAAGACTGCAGAAACATCGTGTCCACAAAGAAGAGTTGATTTTTCACGTGCGGTTCTCAAGAGAGCTACACACGTTTCTTGTCACTTTGAATCACGTTATAAATAGTAAGTTGTAGAATCCGATGATAATGTATACGGAGCTGAACACAAAATAAAGTATTTTGTAAATTCTATCAAAGCATTCGTATTTACGGAGGCTGGAGACACATCGTGCCCACAAAGAAGGGTTAATTTTGCACGCGAGGCTCTGAAGAGAGCTACACACGTTTCTTTCAGTTTGAATCACGTCGTTAGCAGTGAGTTGTAGAATTCAAAGCTAATCTGTGATATGGTGGAACTAAACACGGAATGAACGTTTTCTGTAAATTCTATCTAAAGGTTAGTATTTGCAGAAAACCTCACTGTTCAAAACGACAAGTAAGTAAATCGTAACAAATTATTCCTTAATGTAAACTATTAAATTAATTTCGACACTATATTGTCATCCAATCAAGTCTAACTTTCAGTTAAGTTATACGTAAAATATTCAAAAATTGTAAAGACAAATTTCAACAAAAGAAACGCACGTCATTATGGAAGATGTACTCTTTTATTAATGAAACACATCTGAAGGATATGGAATTCTTAAATCATTAGCAAAACTATGAATCAAAGATATTATAGTCATTCGCAAAGTTTCAAATGAACTTCAATTGCAGTCCAGAAAGCGATGTCTTGCACTAAATATAAACAAATCATAACAAAATTATCGGTGAACTGCAAAGTGCTGTTTCAAAAGAGATAAAAGTAGATTCACAAACTTCGATAAAAGTAACGAGACAAGACCAGAAAATGCATGATCAGTTCAGTGCTTCATTCGAGACAATGTGAAAAAAGTAACGTGCATATTTTAAACATTCCTCTACAATAAATATATTAATGCTTGAAATATTTAATTGAATACTACAAAAATATTGAATTTATAGGATACCATAAAAGCCGTCACTTGCTGCAAGCTCACCTCACGGCCATTAGTTCACCACCAAGGCGATATGGTACCATCTCGTGAAATGAAATTGATTTGAATTTTGTATCAGTAACAACAGTAATTCAGCACACTTTTATGGGTTCGCAAGAAGAATGCCAATTGAAAGAAATCAATATAATACTTTTCACAAGGTAAATTACTAGTTCATAGACACATATGTTCTCAAACAAGATTTTTGATTGAAAAGAAAAGAAATTGAAAATGTAGTTTTTACACTTCACTAGATGAATACAAAAAGATTATCACAGTATTAAAATCCGAGTGTCATTTCAGAACTTTCCTTTGCTAAACTCATAAGGAGACAAAGTATTAATTAATGAATGGAATCATTCAATTTAACATAAAATACATAAAATAATTACAATAATGATATTTTTCCGTACGCATCCATTCCCCAATCGAATCATGAACAAGTAACTGGTCACTTCAGTTTCCATGTAACGCATACGACGTTATTTCCAAAAACGAACCTTCCGAAAAAGCGTCAACACGGCCCCCAGATGCGGGCGTCGCCCTGCTATCACCATGTCACCGGTGCCCCGCACGGCGAGCGCCGCGCGCAGTCCGCGCCGAGCGGCGGTGAGTGGTCGCGGGGCACAGAGCCCCTGCCTAGATGCTGCCCGGCCTCCTAGATGCACGCAACTACGGGTGTGCTGGCCGTGCGATGCGACCGGCCTGCGTCCACGAGGCTGTGCACGGGGGCTGGGCGGTGGAAGAAGTAGTAGTCGCATGCGCGGCGGGGGTGGTGGCAGGGGAGGAGGCGGCGGCGGCAGCGTCCGCGGCGGCGGAGGCGGCGGTGGCGGCGGCGGCGGCGGCGGGTGCTAGGCACCGCGCGCACTAGCCGCCAGGCGACGAGCGACGGGCAGTGGCGGCAGGCGAGGGGGCGGGTCGCCGCGGGGGGGATGGGCGATTCAGGCGGGCGCGGGCTCAACAATTGCTCGGTCCAAAGTTAGCAATTTTCTCTTTTAGTTCTTGCCTTTTCTGTGGCTGTTTTGTGTTTTTTGTACTTTAGCGACTCATTGCACCCCGTTCGTCTTTTTAGTTTCTTACCGTCACGTTTCGTCTCTTTCCGTCACTTTTCGTCTATTTTCGTCCTTTTCCGTCACATTTTATGTTTGTGTCTTTCCTGTCTACATTTTTCCTTTACTTTGCCGTCTTCTCATCATTTTCATTTTTTCTTTTTTTATGTAATTGCGATTATAATATGTGCAGTACGTTTCGGAGTTAACATTAATTTTTACGTTTAACGTAAAGTTCGTCCGTTAAAAATGGAATGCTAAGTTGAATGAAACTGGGAAGAATTAATTACTACTTATCAGAATCCAATCAACTGACTGGTGCCAGGATTCCGATTGCAAAGGAAGTGATTAATTCAAAAGTGCCCAAGAATTAATTCCAATCCATAACAACTTTCAAGAAGGAGTACATTGGATTTTTCTTTCACGATAATGCAAGATAAGACTTGTACAGAAATGTGCTATGCTTCAAAAACGTGTCATTAGGCGTTGAAGAATTCGTTATAAAATGTATTAAAGCACATATTTTACAGTTAATTATTTAGAGAATACACAGAATAGCCAGGATCGACATAATATTTCAAAAAGTAATTTGAATTACAGCGAAAAGTATAATGACGTTCCAATTACTTTAACACAGGTGACTGCTTCATTCACGTGAAGGGGACCGCCCCAAGTCGACCTAAGCCCTGATATGTCGGCACCATTCAGTCATTAAATAAGTAGTTTCCTTGTGTCGGCGATCGCTGTCACGCTGCAGCCCAGTGAAAGTGACGAGCGTTTGGACGAGCTGAGCCCCCGCGCGCCGAGAAGCGCCTCCCCGGCCGCGGCGCCCCGCGCGCACATGCAACAAGCCACTCACCGGCTAGGATGGAGATAACGACGGGCGTGGAGAGGCCCGTCTCCTCCTTGATCTTGTTTAGCACTTCGGGCATCAGCGGGGGCTTCGGGGTGGTCGACGGCCCTTCCGTGGTGAGTGGGCTGGACATACCTGCAACAAGCGGCGGTCGCCCGCCGGCACAGGTCAGCCTCGAGCGGCGAGGAGGGGCTGATTGAGTTGGGTTGGGCCGGGGCGGGGCGGCGCTAACGCACTCAGGGAACTAACGGTGCAACAGAGGCGGCGCGAAGATGGCGGCAGGCAGCTTCCTAGTGTGGCTCCGGCGGCCGACTGCGACCGCGACCGCGCGTGCGGTTAGATGCTCAATGCGATTGCGTCCTGAGCGCGCGCGAGAGTGCGTTTGTGTTCGTGAGAGATATTTCGAGCGGAACCGGCGTCGGTCGGTCGGTCCGGTGATAAGTGCGCGCTGTTAAGGAGTGTGGTTTCGCCTTCGTCTATTGTTAAGCAGATAAACATGCTCTCCTCGGTCTGACCTATCTAGAGGATGCCAGTCTGTACGGTGCGGGCTTCTCGAGTAAATAAATTACTTTACAACGAAGTTCACCTATGTCGAAATGACCGCAATTCAAAATAGGCGGTATTGAAGACGCGAAAAGAACAACTCCGTGTCCGAAAATATGTACCGTTTCTCCGTTGATACTTATCAATCCCACAAGATCATGTGCGTACTGCTTCAGCTTTAATTGTTTTTTAAAACAAGTAGCGTTAGTTTCAATGTACACATTTTGGCTTATTATACTTCATAAATATTTGCCGTCAAGAAAAATAACTTTTGTTTCGAAGAAAATTTTCAGAAATTCAAGGAAATTTGAAGAAATTCCATGGTGGTATCTTGTGGTAATCCAAAATGTGAAACAAGAAATAATCGTCCACAACCAACGTATAATAATATTATTAATTATCACATTTTCAGAGTCAACTTTCGGGAAAACACTTTTCCCATCTTCTGTGAGTCTTACCCAAGTAAGTGCATCACTTACAAACGTTCACAACATGGTCCGATAAATACGATACTGAGAAACATGGTGGATACGCGTTGGTGGCAACCATCTAAATATTCCAAATGATGGCTGCCACCTAGTCGTACTCAGCATGTTCCTCAGTTTTCGTATTTATCCGACCATGTTGTGAACGTTTATAAGTGATCCACGTTGCTTGGGCAAGACCCATTGAAGATAGGAAAAGTGTTTTCCCGAAAGTTGACTCAGGGCTTGTGATAATTAATAAAATTTTTATACTTTGATTGTGGACAATTACTTCCTTTTTCACATCATGGATTTGGAGAGTTGGGCAAAGTAACTAACATTGTAAATACCAACCGAATATAACTAAGGGAAAATATACAAACTCATTTGAAAATTGAAATAATAACAAAAAACAACAAAGTCAACACACATTTACTCTGATCTGGGCTGTCCGGGTGACGCCGCGTCGATGGCTGATGTGCCGACGTTTCGAGCGCGACATGTCGGTCGAAACGTCGGCACATCAGCCATCCACGCGGCGTCACCCGGACAGCCCAGATCCTGGCTATGGCCGCGGAAGCCTACGACATCATTTAACACATTTACTCTTTCAAGCCAGCAATTACCTAATCTGGATTTTTTGTTTAAAAAATCCCTGTTGCCTCCAGAGGCTATATGTGTGTTTGAAGTTATTTCTTGAATTTCAAGTGTGATTTTATATTTCGAAGTTTACATTTTAGAAATGTACTATACTTTTAATTTTCATCCAAGTCACTGTAAAGTTAATGTTGTTCCCTCCTTGTAACCTTTTCCCTTTACCCAGATAAAAAAGGTCTGTTCATTTTTGTGTAACAATTGAATATTTAAAAGTTTCAATTAATATAGCACTTGGGCCTATGATACCATGCCGTGTTCTCAATTTTTAGTCAATGCTTACAGAATAAACATACAGCAGTTTTCGAGATCTTTGTTTACGCATTGACCGGATTTGATTAATATTTATTGAAAAAATATTAAAATATTTTATATGCACATAAAATAATTTAAAGCGCAAATATTGACAAACATTAAGAACAAATTGTAACTTCTATATGAAGGTATGAGAGAAGTTCAAAAAAGGTAATATTTTGCTTTTTTTATGGAATAGTTTTAACGAAAATCGGGCCGATACCACACTCAGCCACACTTTGCTTCATTGGAGAAAGAAATTGTCTTAAAAATGCAGTGGTTTGATCAAGTTTTGAAAATGTATTGTGAGATTAAAGTACTCCAAAAAATAAAAGGTACATTTTCCATTTTCATGGCTTTAAATTGAATCAGACGCAGTGAATATGTTTTTAGGGAAAAATAATGTACATAGTTTTTAACATGTTTTTTTGCACGGTAAAATCGTTACATTGCTACATTATTTATAATTATATCTTTGAAACTCATTTTGAGAATTTCATCAAATTGTCGAGATATAATTTGGTGATTATACCTTTTAAGATGAAGAAAAAATCACTAATATCGGGATTTCTTTGCGAAAGTTACAGCTGAACAGAAACAGATACACACCACGAATTAACATTCCCCTTTCGAAATCGCTTAATAACATCGCTATGGAAGTTTGGTGAAAAGGTTCTCCAATGAATTTTTCGATGAGCAATTAGCCCGGAAAAGAAGTAAAAGGACCTAGTACTGCTATTATATTCATTAATTAAGATTGATATTCAATTGTTTTTCAATTTACAGTACATACGTTTTTTCTAATTGAAATACACATTTTGTCAATGACGTGTGACATAATTCATTTTCTTAATCACCACTTTCAGTAAGCTTTACACCAGTGTCGTAATAGATTTTCCTGTGAAATTGTAGTTCTATTACACCCTACACAAACATTATTTTTGAAGTTAGAGTAATTGAGTGCTTGAAAATAAAATAGGAGTTGAAAACTCATAAACTCAAGAGTCAGAAGTTAATTTTATACTCTGTCAAACTGTGTTTTGCTTCCTCTGTACAAGCACATGATCCCTTATCTTTTCCTCGCTAATCTTGAAAAAAAAAAGCAGGTCAATTATTTTTAAACAGGAAATTACGTTACGAACATCAGAGAGTTTAGAGATGCGGAGTGTAATTACACATAAGTGAAACGCAAGATGGTTGAAAATAACTTGCAACGGTACAGTTCTACTGATACTTATTACAACTACATTACGGTCGTATGATACATCTGCTTTTCGTTTACTCGTGGGCTGTATGTGTGGGTTTGTCTTATTAAATTCTAATTATTTCTCATTAACGATTATAAATACAAAGTTAAAATATTATTATCAAAATAATTTCCCTCCATCGCCAAATCTTCCTATCTTCACCTTCTTTCAGTGTCACGCGGGAATTTACCGATTCTTTTGTGATTATCAAACTAATTTTAATTTTGTGTCTATCATTTCTTTTGTTGCCAATAACTTGTGTTTTACGAGCATTAACATAGAAATGGAACTAAATAGATGGCATGAAAAACATTTTTCTTGGCTTTTAATTAGATCGTCTCTATGCTGTAGGACTACAGGATTTGTTTCCCATATACAATAAATATTTTTATTTCTAATCTTCGCAATTAAAAACAAAAAAACAGGAAAGGCACATATGTTTTATCTGCTTGACTTTATGTATTTGATTTTTTACTGATACTTTATTGCTTGTTATTGTATTCGATTCGGAGCTTGCATACACTTCTTAACTTACCTTGATCGACAGGAACACGATTATAAGGGAAATATGACAAGCTTGAGTTATGCCAAGTGTTCTCTTAGGGAGGGAATTGTGAAAGGGAATAATGGGAGAATATGAAAAGACAAAAGTAGTCAAGTTAACATCTAGTTAATTAGTAAATATAAATCATTAAAATTAGGCAAAAAATTGAATGTATCAGGGGCGTTTACTAGCACTAATGATCTCAGGGTACAAAATACCCGGCTCCAAAGGCCTTCGAACTTTTTGTCGCCGCTCGATCATTAGTACCGGGAGAGGTGGCTCAGTGCATCAACTGATGTCACTGCAGTGCCCCTGACCGGCGTTCGGGTCCTAGATTCGAGTCCCAACAGTGGCAAGATTTCCGGCACTAGCTTCTCCGCTCGGTCGAATTCAATCGCAGTGTGGAGGAGAATGCTTGCGGCCGGCTGCTCTGATCGGTAGTTTTCCGTGTTTTCTCCGATCAACACCAGGAAAATGCCGGAGCAACACCCCAACAAACGGGCCACGGACCACGTGACATCTATCTTTCTTCTTCCTTGTCCTATTCTCATCCCTTTCATACACACTTACACACTAACATGCACTACACTACCACACATGCTGGGAGACCGGATGGGAGTATAGAGCTTGTCCCGGCTGGGGCGGTGCCCACTGGTGGGAGATACCTGGTAAGGGGAAACCTCGCTAGGCGACGGTAGGCCGACGCCGATCTTACCATTTAGTGGCGTAAGATCACTGTTACCTCACGAGGAGTCCCACAATACTAACGGGACTAATGGCCTTGTTAGTTGAAGCGGCCGGAATCACTAACAAACAAACAACCATCGATCATTATATCGCCCTAGACGCATAATTAATTCTTTTGGGTGAGTGAATATTTATTCCGTGTGTGCCAACAACTCTTGTCGTTATTGTGGCAAGTGTAAATTCCCTCTGCCCCAGCAGGGAAAATCTCTAAGCTCCAAAATGGTCTTCCGGCGTATGGCTTGCGGAGTAGTGTATTCAAATGTGCGTCTGTCTAAGGGGGCAGGAGAAGACAAGGATGAGGAAGGAAACATGGCGCGCGGTTTACGCCTGGCCTACTTAAGACTTTTCCTGATATTGATCGGAGAAACGATGGAAAACTACTGATAAGAACCGCCAGCTGCTAGAATTTTCCTCCAAAAAGAGAGAAAATTGGATTCAGCTATCCAGCGAATGTTGAAAATCCGTCACCGTGTGGTTTTGAATCTTCAACACTTCTGGGAAACGGTTGTGCAGTTAAAAAGATGTTGCCGCTAAGCTCTCGCAGCGTGTGCAGATTTGTTGCGTTTTTATCCAAAAACGTAAATTGTGTTCTTTAGAGTATGCATTTCGTGCAGTGTTTTTTTGAGAATTCACACTACACTAATTATAATTATTGTAGCACTGAGAAGGTTTGCAATCCAAGTGGAGTCGTGAAATCGTGTGTGACTTTCCTGCATTTTGAACTTGCCGAGAGAATCAAAAATAAAATCTAAAACACATTTCTGGAGTACCACTACGGCTATTTGTTAATTAATAATTCTGAGACATGTGGGGGATCTCACCGATGGTCTCTGTGGAGCTGCTGACATCCACGGGGGCGCCGTCCGCCGCTCCCGCCTCCTCTTCCCTCTTCACGGTGGGCGACATGTCTGCAAACAACAGAAACCCGTGTTAAACAAAGCGCGTACAACAACTATAAACAGCGCCATGGTCTTACACGCTAACAGAATCTCAAAATTAACTTACAGATACATTAAGAAACGACCACTTGGTATAATATTTAACCCTAAACGAACATTAACCCCAACGGAAAACTCGTTACACAATGTGCACAAAAAGCTCTATTAGCTGCAGCAGTTGGGAACGGTAGATAAGTTCTTATCAGAGCGTAACAAATACATGCAAACTTACAAATACATTAAAAGATGATAACTTGAAGTCACATTTAACCTAAAACGAACACTAACCCGAACTGAAGACCACCCGAAGAGCTAAACCACGGGGACGCCAACAGTTAAAACCTTTGTCCGAAAGGCATCTTGATATTTCATGTTTTACTTACCGCCTGCGCCTGCATGTACTAACTACACAGTCTGCGAAACAGCTACGTCTTCAATTATGGTTATGGAGGAAGTGATGAATGAATTCGCGTGGGAAAACTTTTAATGCTCCGTTCCGAAGAAATGAATTTGAACTTTGGTCGGTAATTATAACTAGATTGTTCATGATACGGAATGATTTCCACTCAATACAGGCCGCAATGCAGCCAAATAGCTGGCTACGGTGCAGTTTCGCCCGAAAAGGCAAACTAACAAAAACTCCATTCATAAACATATTTGCGTGACATTTTGATGTTGATAATAAAATTTAAATTCGTCTATTTTTATTTCACTCATCTGATATATAGCTGTGGCCTTTTAAGACCATATTAAATGAAAAATTCTATTGGTATACATTAAGAAACCGTTACAAGAACGTCTGACATTCCCAAATTAATATTCCGAAAAATGTACTACGATTTGCGAGAAAAAACGGTGGTTTAAAACTGAAACAAATGTTTAAACGAAAGGAGATGATCTATTTCAGGTCTAACGTTTCCGGTTTTGTTGCTTTATCAGTATAAAGTGAGATTTAAATGGACATAAATATGTTCGAGAATATGAAGTTTGATTCTTCAAATTTGCATTAAGTAGTTAGAATTTCCAGCGTTTGATCTCACTCGCATACGTATTGAAAAACACTTGGGTAAGGCTGCAAAGAGGTCATTAGAAAATTAACTGCGGGCGTCCATCCGTTCAACTGGTCACGTCTCTAATTGAGCGCAGTTAACTGGAAGTGATCCCTCAGTGGAACAGAGGTTACTCCACAGGTATGGTATTTCACGATTACGATTGCGGGATCGATCATGATTGACGTCAGTGGATTTTTTCGGAAGCTCGAAATTCCACAATAGCCATGCCTCACTCCCGACTTGTGAAAGATTTCTAGCAGAAGACCGGCCTTATTAGACCCCGCGAAAGTGACATTCTAATGAGATTCTAAGAAATAGCTTGCCTCGCTGCGCTTGGTCGCATACTACTCGTACTGCCCTGGACAGGCGGATGCGTAGTTGCACTGCCTGTGAATACGGGAGTTGAAAGACAATCGTTCAGAAGAAATTGAAGAGCGCACTAAAAATCACATAACAGTTCGCGACTGAGGCCGATCTGGGCGTCTGGAAGCCCGGAGATAGAAATATAGTACAGAAGCAGAAACTATCGTAAAGGGATTTTTCATTCACGTTATTCAAGGAAATGATTTTCTTGAATGAAAAAGTCAATTTTAAAACATTCTGAAATTAATAGAAGCAAAAAGGAATTGTCTGAGAAGGTTCATTAGATAAATTTTTAATGCTAATCAACAAACAACTACGAAACACAATTCACGAAACAGAAGACAATTCGTTATAGCATAGCATAGCATAAAATGGTCTGTTGACAATATGAGAAATAAGATTACAAGGCATGTTTAAAAAAAGCGATTTGGGAAAATATATAAATTTGGGAAAGAGGATCCATAAATATAAATATTTATCAATAGAAAGATACATGTACTAAATAGAACACTTTTCAGCAGTTAGTAGATTGATTTGATAAAATGAATTATTACGACAAATTATCACGGCTGTTCTTTCACAATACACACATTGACATAAAACAATATATTGTAAAATAACATTAAATAAAATTTAAAAAAGTTATTGGTGAACTTGTTTAACGGCGAAACACCGACGCATTTTAATCATACCTGGAGCACATCACTGGAATGTTGCATACTACAAAATAGATGTGAATGAGTTGGTAAAAATCGGTTAATATAAGTTGCAACAATTTTTGCACCGTATTGACTCTTTAAAATAGTCATATATTTTTATAGTTAAATTCATATATTACACGTACAGATTCATAAAAATATGAAATGAATAGTGTAAGATATGATTTTGCTATTCTTAAACAACAAAACGAATAAGAAAAGCTTCACACTCTTTGATCACGTAAGTAGCAGACGCCACGTGACTAAGAAGAGTCCATTACTATTCGCTTTACATAAAAACCTAACAAAACGTAAAATGAATCATTTTTCTGTACAAAATTCTCTAAATATGTTTGCAACGTGTCGGCTTACGTGCATCGCGGACGACTTCCATCAGCAAGCGAGCCGCGCAAGGTTCAATTGAATTAAGCGAATCAACTGTAAATTTCCCTTCCGGGGCCGCTCGCAGCCGGTGGCGCCCGCACCTGCGTGGGTGGCGCGCGGCCTAAGCGCGGGTGCGCACATTCACGGGTCGCTTCGCCGTGTGGCGGGGCGGGCGGGCTCGGGCGGGCGGCGGGCGGGCGGGCGGCGGCGGCGGTGGCAGCGAGCGAGCGAACTTATCGATTCGAGGCGAGCTTGCCCGAGGACCCACTTGTCCGGGCTGCCCGTCGCTGGCGGAAAGCCAAAAGCGCCACTTCGCACGGCCGCTGTGGAGCGGGGTTGGCTTTCGGTTCGTCGAGAGATTTGCTTCGGTCGCGGAGGTGTTTCTGATATCTCCTGTCGCATTGTAGACCATCGTCACATCGACAGACTGATTAAAAAATCAAGCGCGTACTTGCAGTACTGTTGGGCTTTTTCTAGGTCGTGGGGAACGGGCCGTATGGTGCTGACGATCATCCCATCACCCACCTCTAATGATGGGAAAGAATGTGTCCTGGCTGGACCGTAGTAGGTTTCCGATGCAGGACTCTCAAATGCAAGGATTGGAGCTAGACTGTCTGCGGCCACCCTCTGGAGTCGTTCGTGTACCTCTCGCATATCACAAGACTAGAACCGATCGGGCCCGAGCACCTCCCTTCCCGTCGTGGCGGACGTGACAAGTTGCGGGCCACGTCGGTTGCTCGCACGTAACCCCTCGGGCGAGGAGCGCAAACCGGGCCGCATATTTATGCAACCCTGGTTTCGAGTACTGCTGTCATCCGTATGAAGCAAATGTGAGGAAATCACGAGCACGGATGTTCAGAGGAAAGGGCCTTTTCCCAGGCAGACAGCGACTTCTTGCAGCCCAGCTACAAGGCTGCTGTCTCATATCCGGCTCAATTGAACCGCCTCCGTCTCGGAGACTTCCTCGGCAGCTGTAGTTGCGACCTCGCCGGTCTCTGGTCCGGGAGCAGAGGCAAGTACCGCCGGTGACCGTGGGGGGCTCGACACGTATGTTATTAATCCCAAAGCACCGCGGTCGGCAAGGCTTATTGTGCTGTTTCCTAAATGTGCCGCCAGAGAGACGCTGACATTTTCTGGTTGGGGACTTCACAGTGTGTGTGTCTGGACAGGTCTGTCGGGGAAAATGAATTTGCTCACCTTCAAATAACCCGATTCGGTGGTCAATGCGATGACTTCTATTACTGAAGTAGTTGAGATCTAAATTCACAAACAAATTTTGAATTAATTCATTTTTCTCTTCGTGCTTTTCTCTTGGGGCAAATACAATTGTCTCTCCATTGTTTTAAAAGTCATATGAGCCATCTGCTGTTAATTTAAATATCCTCATATTAACTATGTTATATGGACTAATAAACACTTTTAAACAAGAAACGTCCATATAATTCACTCGCTGTATCCAGTTTGTTTCAGATAAGCGCGTGTGTATACTATATTCAAGAATATTCGTCACGTTAAAAATGCGGCAAATCCCTTTGATTCAGGCTATTCTTTTAAGGCAACACCTTCGAGCATACAGTCTTCATCATTCCCTTTACTACTTCACTACCGTTGTCTTGTCTCAAATTTTGTCACAAGTCTCCTGGATTGGTCACATCAATGTTGCAGTTTTGATGTCCCAGAGCAACCGAAACTTTGATGTATTCCACAAGGCATTGCCACACACGCCAGTTGGCCAAAACGTTATTTAAAACCGTACAGAGTACAGCTCTTGCCAGCCTTTCGCACCTCCGCCTTCCGGCGCATCGCAAAGCCGCATTCCGCCGCGCTCTGCCACTGCCGCTCGCCGACAGGAAGCTTCATTTTAAACCCAAACCCGTCTCGTCGTCGACACCCGCATTTCCAAAACTTTCCCAAGCTTATGAAAAGTTCGGAGAGGAGCGCGTTCGCGCAGGCCCGCCGCCATGTGCAGGCGGGGAGTAAAGCGGAGGCGCGCGGTGAGTGGCGAGGCGAAGAGCACGCTCCGAAGTTGAAAGCAACAGACGGGCGGAGGAAAGAAGGATGAGGAGAGGGGAGTTAGGAAGAGAGGAGATATGCGCGGGGAATGAGGAGCAGCAAGAAGAGAGGGTGCAGTGGACAGAACACGAAGCAGGTACTAAAAATGCAACAGAATGGAGCGGAGAGCTAATGGCGAGATAAGGAACGTAGAGGGGTGGGAGATGAACAATGCAGAGCACCGAGAGGTCGCAGGCACTAAAGCGGGGCGCGAGTGGGGATAGAGAAAGGCGGGTCGTGGGGACGGGGAGGGAAGAGATAGGATCACGTCCTAGTTTCACGCCAGAGAGCGTGCTGCCCTGGAGGAATAGTGTATGGATCGAAGAGAGAAAAAGAGAGAGAGGTTGGCCACCAAGGTACCGAAGAAAGGCAGCCGAGTTGATCATGAGACGAAGAGCGATGAATAAAGAAAAATACGTATTTTG